ATTCATATGTTCAAACCTGTTGTACTGAAAAAACTAAACCAATTATTATAATTTTTTTTATGCAAGAGAATAAATTATTATGAGAAAACTAAGAAATTATGTGCAAATATATATTTAGAGAGAGAGAGCATACAAATTGTGACAATGGTGGATGAGGTAGCAGAGACAATAATTACCTTGTCTCTTCTTCTTCTTCGTGGACTTTGTTAGGGTTTTTTGGAAGTGGATTTTTTTGGGATGTAAGGGGTGTATATTCAACGGGTGGAATGTTTTCACAAAGATAATTTTGGTATTATTTGGGGGAGAGAAAAACAAATTTTAAGAGTTTCAAAATTTATAAGTGGTGGTCCAAATAAATTAGAGATCTAAAATAACCCATGGGGTGCTAATAGCACCACTCTATAAATGAGTGAGATATTTTGAAAAATGACCAAATTATCCTTTTCATACCTTTCTATTCTATTTCGCATTTCTTTCTTTCACTTTCATCTATCTTTCTTCTATAACAACCTATTCATGTCAGTCAACTCTTCATAGCATTGGTAGCTCCTTTTCGTTATCGCCAGCCACCCTTCCATCTTCACCCTCCCCATCAACCCTGTCGTCTCTACTCTACCTTACTTCTCTCACTTTATCACTCATTTATAGCCTTTACTTTATTTGCAAAGCCCTAATAACCTATACGTATACAAAATAGAGATGTGTAAAGAGAGAGAGAAAGAGAGAGAGAGAAGAAGAATAAGAAGAAAAAGAAAACGAATGAGAAGGAAAATAGGGAAGACAGTAGTAGAGCTAGGTTTCGAAAGAAGTTGGCGACATTGGTAGTTGAGGAAGGGTATTATGAGGATGAGGTTGTAAAGGCAAGATAAAAAGACACATCGAGGTTAGAGGATAAGAAGTGGGTTGAAGAGATCAAATGAGGGTAGCGAATAAAGTAATGGTAAAGTGAGAGTATGATAAGAGCTATTGGTTGTTGCAAAGGGAATATAGATGAAATAGAGGAGAGATAATAAAAGGGAAAGATAATTTGGTCATTTTACAAAAGATTTCCCAACCATTTGAATTATTGGTAGGTTTTAATATCTAATATGAATCTATTTTATTCCTGAGAGGGTAATTTGTGTAAACAAATTGAGCCGAGCTTGGTAAAACCGTATTCGGAGTTTGGGCTGTACAGTGGGCCGAGATAAGAACTCGGATAGCTCGGTTCTGGGCTGAATGGATACTAGGCCAGATAATGGAATTGGACCTAATTATCTATGTGCAGGTCATAAGCAGATCGATATGGCTTTAGTGAAGAAGGCCCAGCTAGCTTTAGCTCAGCAAATCATCATTTGGCTGTTTGCATGGTTCGGCTAGAGAAAGATCAGAACGAGGTAGCTCGGTTAGGCATGGTTAGCCGAGCAGGTGTTTGGCCGTCTCACTTGGCTTGCAGTGGAGAGGGTGTACTTAGGATAAACATTATCCTTAAGGAAGGTATTTCCTAAGAGGACTCTACTAAGGAGAGTTAAAGTCCTACTAGAACTGCTCCCCGTGTAATCTATAAAAGCTCATGATAGAACCTATGCATAAGTATCGCAATTCTCACTCTCGAATACATAGTGCTTTTTGTCTATTGTCTACTTGCTAACTTAGGTATCGGAGGGGTTTCCGACACATACCCGCCGACAAGTTTACGTTTGTGTTTTCAGGGGGTTGGACAATGACGTTTGGTGAAGTGTAAGCTTAATCAACAAGATTATACAAGAAGAATTATTTCGCACTTGTACAATTCCCTATGAAATCGAAGTACCTTTTTAAAGAAAAAAAAAACCTATTTAATTCTATTATCTTTTTTTTTTTCCAATGTTGTTCTAAACCAATTAAGAACATGGTTATAATAATTTCGATCAAAATTATAAGATCTTACGATTTTAGTTTAGCCAAATGATTAGAATTGAATTAAAATATTTATTTTTTATAAAATCTTAAAGTGACTACAATTCTACTCACAAAATCCATCCCATGTATATAATTACAAAATATTAAGAGGTTTTATGCTTAAAAATTCCAAACTATTTTCCCAATGTTTCTAATTTTTAAAATGCAAAAATACATGTGTCAAAACATTGACTCTTCGGTATTATGGAAATTGTTTGGTTTAGTTTTCAAATCAATTTTTAAAAGCTCAAAACTCAAATTTTGTTTGGTTTATAAATTTTTAAAAACTGTTTTCAATCACTTTTTCTCTATTTTCTCTCATTCTCTCACATTTTACACATCACTCAGTTATTTTTTTTTTCTCTTTTCTCTCATTCTCACACTTTATACATCAATCAATTTTTTTTCCCTCTCTCGTCTCTCATTCTTTCACATTCTACATATCAATCAACTACTTATTCTCTCATACCCACACATTCAACTAAAAAAGAAACTACTCACTTAGTTCTAAAATATTAATCCCTTTTGGGAATCCAATTTTTTTTGCTAGTACAATAATTACATCTAAAAAATATTTAACTTTTAAAAATTACCCTTTAACTTTTTTTAGGAACATCAACTATCATAATTAATGAATTTAAAAGAAAGACAAAATAGAAAATTCGTGTTATTTTAGTTCTTATTTTTTGAAAAAAGACTAATATTTTGGGCCAAAGGGACTAATTTGGTTGAACTGTCGACCAGTCGGGCTTTCAATTTGGATACACCCTCTAAACCGTTCAAATCCAAAAACCAACCTATTTAGAAAGAATCGGAAAAATTGGCGGTTGGACTGCCGAACTGGTTGACTCGGGGACGGGTCAGGTGAACCAGCTGGGTTAAAAAATTAAAAATTTTGAACTTTTTTTTGATATCTTCTAACAAATCCAAAAACCAACCTATTTAGAAAGAATCGGAAAAATTGGCGGTTGGACTGCCGAACTGGTTGACTCGGGGACGGGTCAGGTGAACCAGCTGGGTTAAAAAATTAAAAATTTTGAACTTTTTTTTTGATATCTTCTAACTATTTTTTTTATTCTTTCTTTTATTTCTTTCTTTCTTAATCTCTCTCTATATATATAATAAAATTTTAATTGAAAACTCTCCTTCAAATGTCTCCTCTTGTGAGCCATTGAGAGTTTAAAATTATTGTAAAAGTTTCTACCTATTTATAAAGAAAATTTTTTTCCAAAAAAAAATAAGATATCCATGTGGGATTCAATCAAATTTATTGGAGGGAGACTTGAAATTTTGACATCCCTCCAAAATTTTTATTCTTTTTTCAATCATATTATTTGAATTAAAATCATATAGAGGGTTTCCTATTCCAAAATTAAAATTAATAATATTTTAAAATATATTATTATATTTTTTAATAAAAAAAATATTAGGAGAAATATTTAAGATAATTTAATATTTTTATTTAAATATAATTTTAATATATTTATGACGTTATGGTTCGATTCCGGTTTAACTCCACGGTTACCGGTCCGGTTTTTAAAACATTTGGGAGTACAAATCATTGTATGGGATGCAAATTATTGGCTAAAATAGTTAATGAAAACAAAAAAAGACTAAAATAATCAATAAAATAAAATGTCACATTCAAAATATAATTATTGTATTTTTTCTTTTACAACCATCAAATCAATTACAAAAAAGAATTAAAAATCATCACAAACACAATTTTTTTAGGCAAACTAAAATAGCAATTAGCTATAAAGTTAAGCTAAAAAAGGTCATCCCAAATGAAGGCTACAAAACTCCAACTACAAAAATATTTTTAAAATATACAAATAAATAAATTTAAAAATTTAAAAAATTGTTTTTAAAAATTTATTTTTCAAAATTAATTTCAAAACTAGACTAAACCGGCTTTGTCTTGTTTTGATTTTTTTAAAATGCTGCAATGTCTTGCTTTGAATTTTTTAAAATGCTGCAACGAGCATTAGGGGTGGGCACGGGTCGGTTGCGGCTACAGAGCCTCTAATCCGCCATCCGTCCGCCAGATTGGCGGATTAGAGATAATCAATCCGCATTCGTCCGCCAATCCGGCGGATGTGGATTGAGCGGATTGGCGGTTTGGCGGATGGATGCGAATCGGTTTGGCGGTTTAAAATTTTATAAATTTTCAACATAATTTAACTTGTTTACTTCCTCAAAAAAAGAAGAAGAAAGTATTACAGTCAATGATTTAAAAAAATATTACAATCACTGCATATCTCATCCAAAGCAAGAAAGTTTGAAACTTTATAATATCACAATCACTGCATGCCTCATCCATATACTATAATCACAGTATGCCTCATCCACATAAAGTATTACAATATGTGGTTCTTAAAATATAAAAACAATTCAAACCACCAAAATCATGATCAGAGCAGTAATAGAGATTGTATGTCTCTGTATTGTTACATCTATATCTGTTTTTGAAAACAAAAACTAACCAACATATATCATATTTTCTATTTATTATTTTTAGAGATAGATTTAAAAACAAAAAAATATAGATAAATAATACGTTTATTTTTTTTTATTCAAAAAAGATATTCAAGTTGAAACTTTTTTTCAACAGAATATTTAAACTCTTTTTTAATTGAAAACACAAACAGAATATTTAAAGAAACTGAAAACACAAAGTCTCATAAATTACTAGTGGTGCACGCGGTTTGGCGGTTCGGTTGCGGCCAAAGGAATCTCAAATCCGCCATCCGTCTGCCAGATTGGTGGATTGAAAAAAATCAATCTACAACCGTCCGCTCGTTATCACCCATCCGTCCAAAATGAGGTGAATCGGTTCGATTCGATCGATTTTAACGAATCAATATATCTGTTACTCACCCCTAACGAGCATAACTGTTTTTATATTGTTGTTGCACCACACTTGCCTAGGAATCTTGTTTTGTGGCCATTCTTTACGAGTCCGGATCCTCGGCCGCCCTACGCAGCGGCCCTTCCAGCAGCGCCCCAAAATGACGTCGTTTTGGGGCCAATTAATAGAATGAGACCCAAAAAAAAAAAAAAAAAATAGAACGAGCACTTGAACTCGAGAGGAGACATCTCTCAGAGTTGCAATTAGTACCTAAAGCCATAAGCCATCATCAACAGTATTTTGACTACTCAATGGATGAGTTCAAGCTTTCAGAAGGTTTTTCAATCTTTACTTTCACTAAACAATTTTATTATTGTTATTATTATTATTATTATTAATCTAGCTATGCCTTTTCTTTTGGTGTTTATATGAAATCTTTATTTCTATATCCTTCTTGTTTGATGTTTCTTCTTTTTCTTTTCTTGACACTGCAGCACGTGCAGAACAGACGGAGCTCCCATCTGCTGACGGTTTCAATTATCTGCTAGACGTGCTCAACAACGGTTCTAACAAAAACGTTAGGCGTATAAATACAAAATACAATGACCAGGAGAGGTACATGAAAGCGTGATTTCTGAGTTAGATTTTTGTTAATTTTCTTTTAATTCCACTCCACAGAAGTATCACTTTCTGATTTATTTTTTTTTTCGTTTCTTTTTCCCTGGGTTTATTTTTGCTGTTATTTGTAAAAATTGCAGCAGTCAAGGACTTAATCTTCCAGATAGTCCATTCACAACTCCAATAGGGAGCGGCATTTCAACAGTAACATAGATTCAGAAACAAAGAAGAAATAAAGGAGATAGGGAGTAACCAAAGTTCAAGATCATTTCAAAGGTTGGATACAAAACAAAGCTCTTTTTTTTTTTTTTTTTTTGGAAAATTGGCCCCAAAACGACGTCGTTTTGGGGCGCTGCTGGAAGGGCCGCTGGGTAGGGCGGCCGAGGATCCGGACTCATTCTTCACACACTGGGATTGCAGTACCTGACTTGCCCAATCAGTGTCAATATTCAAATATGGGTCAAAATAAATGTCAAAAAAAAAAAAACAAAGAAAAAAGTTACAGTGTTTGAATTGTACTTTCATGATAAAATAAAAATATGATAAATTACACTGACATCCTCCGAGTTTTATATTTATTACAGTTTTTTTCTTCATCTTTTGGAAATTACATATTCTTCCTTGAGGTTTAAAATTTCATTACAGATTCTCTTCTTAGCAATTTAATTTTTTTAAATACCAATTTTGCCCTCACTGGGTAAATTACATTGACATCCCTCACATTTTAGAAATTACAATCCCTTTTTTAAGGTTTAAAGTAGCATTACCAATTGCCTCTTTGGTTAGTATTAGTTGGAAAAAAAAATTCATTGAAAAAAAAATTCATTGGGAAAAAATTATTTGAAAAAAAAAATTAATTGAAAAAAAAATTTGTTAGTAAAATTTTTAAATTTCTGTTTAAAACCAATATAAACTCATTTTTTGAATTTACATTTTTTTTCCAAATTTACAAACTTAGACAACCATTTATAAACAAAAAAAAATTATCAAACAAGTTTTTATTACAGTTTTTAAAATTTTTGTAAATATAAATTGAAAACTGAAAATGAAATGGTTACCAAACAGGCTTTAGATGGTAAAAATATCGTAAAATTAATAAATAATTAAATAAGTTACTAACGTAAGAAATGATTTATCAAAAGATTCTTAGGCTATGTATGGTTTGATTTTTAGATTTTTTTAAAAAAAATTAAAAATTAATTTGGTTAAGAAATAAAAAATAAAAAATAATTATCATTTTTATATAATTTTTATCTTTCGAGTGGTTAGAAATAATTTTTTACAAATTAAATTGAAACAGCCATATGTATATATATAATCTGCCCAAAAGTTAAAATGATAATTATTTTTTTACTCTTAAATGATAATTATTTTTTATTTTTTATTTCTTAACCAAATTAATTTTTAATTTTTAATTTTTTTTTCTAAAAATCAAACCATATATAGCTTAAGAATATTTTGATAAGTCATTTCTTACGTTGGTACCTTATTTAATTATTTGTTAATTTTATTATATTTTTATCATCTGAAGCCTGTTTGGTAACCATTTCATTTTCAGTTTTTAATTTATATTTACAAAAATTTAAAAAACTGTCATAAAAACTTGTTTGATAATTTTTTTGGTTTATAAATGGTTGTCTCAGTTTGTAAATTTGAGAAAAAAATGTAAATTTAAAAAATGAGTTTACGTTGGTTTTTAAACAGAAATTTTAAAATTTTACTAACAAAATTTTTTTCAATTAATTTTTTTTTCCAACTAATACTAACCAAGGGGGTAATTGGTAATGCTATTTTAAACCTTAGGGAGGGGATTATAATTTCTAAAATGTGAGGGGTGTCAATGTAATTTATGCAATGAGAGCAAAATTGGTATTTAAAAAAATTAAATTGTTGAGAGGGAATCTGTAATAAAACTTTAAATCTTAAGGAGTGATATGTAATTTTCAAAAGGTGAGGAGAGAACTATAATAAATATAAACCTCAGGGGGTGTCAGTATAATTTACCTATAAAAATATTATAATTATTAAATTAATTTAATTTTTATAATAGATAATATATATAGAGGGTTTTATAAACAGCAATGCTACAGACCCCCAGTTGGGGTGACCCCCAGTGACCTCCAGTGCCACGTGTCGGCCTGGGGTTGGTTGAAAACTCAAAAAAAAAAAAAAAAAAACTGTTTTTTTGGACCAATGGGAGAGGACCCCCAGTACCCCCACTGGGGGTCCAAAGCTTTATTCGTTTTATAAAATGACAGATCAAATGACCGAAACTGAAATCGTAGTGGATTACATGAGATTAGATAGTTTTTTCAAATTTAAATTTCTACTTGAAAAAAAATTCAACCCAACTTAAAAGAACTGAATGGGAGAAAAATATTATTTTAGTAATGTTATGTTTGGTTGAGGGATTTGAGGAGGGATTTGGAAAGAGAAATGGAAAAGGTAAGTGAAATGTGAAAAAAATATGCCTACATTTCACATAGTTTCACACACTTTTTCTGTTTTCCTTTTCAAATTCCTCTCCAAATTCCCCAACCAAACACAGTATAAAAGAATACTTCCTATCCTGTTGTTCAAGTCCATAATATGTAAATGAAACACTGAAAGCACTCATACTAAACGGTATAGAGAGAGAAATAATGAAGTTTCGAACTTACTCTCTCACTTAACGTACATAAACTGATCGTAGTCACCACACCCTTTTCTTTCTTTGAAGTCTGGAACTCCGTAAAACTTTACCATCATTAGAGAAGTTGCAACTTCTCTCCCAGGCTAATAAGTAAAGAATACGAAAAATTCACAAACAAAACCAACAGTGTTTGACAAGTTCATTTGTGGCTAAAATAGCCACAAAAGATAAAATAGGTTATTTTAGTCATAACAAACAAAATATCACATTAAATTCATAATTATTACTTTCTTCTCTTACAAAAAAAAGTCAAAAAAGTCAAAAAGTTCTTCCCAAACCAAGCTTTTTATCCCAGACTAAAATAGCTAAAAAAGCCAAAAAGCCAACTCACTTTCCAAACGGAGGCTCAGTCTAATTCGACAGGTTTGGTTTAGTTTTTTTTTTTTTAATTTGTGGATCGGTTTTGATTTGACAAATTGAAAAATCAGTCTCTGTGGACCGGTTTTGGATTGAAGTCCATGGTTTCGGATTGAAATTAAACCGAACAGTATATAACTTAAGTTATATACCTACTATACACCCTGATACATACAATCCTAGCCTTTTATATATAATTAAAACCAAACCAAAATTCATATCGTTTTAGTTTTCTCTTCTTTTTTTTATGCCATTACAATTGATTTTTTTTAATTATTAGAATAATTTTAGTTTTGTAATTGTTGTTGTCACAACAATATTTATTTGATGGGAGTTTTTTGTTTATTATATGTTGAACAATATATTTATTTACTAGGTATTATGTTTGTTTAAGTTAATGGTAGCATAATTTGTTTATGTTTATGAAAATCATAGGTAGATTAATATTGAACAATATTGGCTTAATATTAGTTTGCTTGGTGAATGTTATATGATGTTTCTTTTGAACATATCATATTAAACTGCAGTTCCAAATCGAACCGAATTGTATTCAAATAGTTTGGTTCAGATTGATTTCATAATTTAAATGGATTGATTTAGTTTCGATTTTTAAAAAACTATAGACAACTAATTGATCATAATTTTATCGCAAATCAAACCATTTCGAACGATACTCACCCCTATTCTCTCCATAGTTCACTTTAAATCAATCCTCCAAAAATTTGACACAAATTAAATATAATATTTATATGTACAATTAATTAAAAATATGATGTGATATGTGAGACGTGGCTTAGAAACCTAACAAGGGTTTTTAAACAAAAATACAGAGAGTAGCATTGTTGGGATAATGGGATGTCACTTTTCAAGTTTACACAAATTTTTGTGTGATTGGTTTTCCATCTGATATCATGTGTCCTATGTACATAAATTGGGCCCTCAATGTGATCATTCCAAATTCTTCTTCAAGCAAAAACTGCTGTGGCTAATCATGCTCTGAATTTTGTCATCAATGACAAACCTAACTTGTATATTATGGTGTTAAAAATGCATAATTTTGTAATATTGTTTGAATGGTGTATATGTTATGTTTTATATCACAAAATATAATATACATAATGAGAGAGAGAGAGAGAGAGAGAGAGAGAGAGAGAGAGAGAGAGAGAGAGAGAGAGCAACAAATTTTGATATTTTGTCAATTTTGTGTCAAATTTGACATAGAATATAGCAGTTCATTGAAGATGAATTTGGAACAATTATTGTTCAATTTTGCCCTTGGCATAGAGGATAACATGTGATCCTTAGCTTATCTGAATTAAAATGATTTGTAATTAATTTTTTTTAGGGTACTTAGGAATGGGAAACAACACAAATACAACAGCTTGAGCAGATATATAATTGCAGTTCAGGGTACAAACTTAGGCTTCATTAGTTTTCTATTTTTTTTTAAAAAAAAAAAAAAAAAAACTTTTCTATCATGATTTTATTGACTTTATCTGCATTTTAAAAATGACCATAGTAAATTAAAAAAAAAATAAAAGTGATGTATACAGTTCAGGTTCCCATTTTATGGGCCTTCATCCATAATTTTTTTTTTCTTTCTAAATGATCATAAAAAGTAAATAAATAAATAAATTAAAAGAAAAAAGCTACAAAAATGTAAATAAATAGATAAAAAAAAAATAGAAGGCAAATTTAAAAGCCCATGTAAACAAGATTGTAAATTAAATCAAGTTATTCGAGCTTGACTCATTAAAAGTACGATTGAAATTGATTATTATATAAATAAGTTAAATTTTAATTTGTTTTAAAACTCAATAAATTTTCAAGTTAAAACTTAAAAAACTTATTAGTTGACTCAATAAGTTTGTGCACTATTTAATGTTTAGCTCGTTAAAAGTTCATTTAAAGTCAATTTGTTATGTAAATTATTAAACTTGAGCACATTTTGAAATTTGCTTAAGGCCCCATTTGACAACTACATATTTTAGTTAAAAAGTTAAAAAGTCACATTACTCTCTTTATTTCTCAGCATATCTTTTCGTAAAAAATCAAAAAGTTATTAAAATAACTTATTTCAAAACAAGGCAAAATTTGAACAAATTATTATTCTGTTCAACTCAACTTATTTACAAAATGAAGCCTACATGCTAAAGTTGCGTTCACTTAAGATCATCTCTAATGAGTGTGTTAACCTTCCAATTTTGAGTTGTTTGTGTTAGCAGTGCTTAGTTAACACATAGCG